AAACTTTTAATTTATTTAACATCATAATAGTATATTTTATTACAACTGATATACAAATTCTATAAAAGGAAAGTGATTGACGTTCACGTGATTGGAATATCTTACCTGGGGGTGTGTGGGTAGACGCTTATAATAAATTGATATTAGGTAATATATGTCACTGCCCTAATATGATCTCATCTTGGAAATTTAGATCTCTAAATTTTGATACTATTATCAAAACATGTAAAAACTTTATGTATTTTATTAAAATTAGCGTGAAAATACTATTACTAAAATTAAATTATGAAATTGTAGCAAATACGTGATGATGTCCGAAATAATGCTGAATATATAATGAATAATGAACTTTCGGGTTTACATAGTAACCTGCCTTAAAAATGTTAATATATTAATTATAATAATAAATTTGGCATAAAAAATAATGCATATAATAACAAAGAATTTTGATAATAATCAGTCGCTATTTACAAAGTTGATCGACTGTAAAGTATTTATACCACTGTACATTAATTATAACCAAATGTCAGGGATCGGCGGATCGGCATGGGGCGCCTTTCAATGTTGATCAAATTTGTGTAAAATGATTTTTTTGTTCAAAATAAATAATTTACATAATAATAATGATATTATGACGATCATCAATTTTCAGAATCTGATTTTCTTAGCAATCATTCCATATTATTATGGATAATAATTTAAAATCAAGGGGTGTTATTTTTCTTTAGTTTCTATGTGAACTAAATAAGCTGGGATTAACAAATTAACCTTGCAACTATCACCCTGAAACTTTTCAATTTTATTATTTTATTACGGATGTTACGGGTTTATAGTGAACGGATTAATAATTAGCAATCATAAATAGGTTAAAAGCAAGATTTTTTATATAACACCAAACTTGATGTATTTTACTGCGGATGTGTGAGACAAGCTTTAAATTACTTTTTCCCTATGAATTTCCATTTCAAGATCATCCCAACTAAAGTATTTACCACTTAAATGTTTAATAGAATCAATTCCTTCACCAGCACAAGAAACCAAAGAAGCAAAAACATGGGCTGGACGTTCAGCAGGAACTAGATTATTTGATTCATATAAATTTACAAATTGATCATATTCTGATCTACTCATTCCCAGTTCCATGCCTATATTTAAACGTGTATAGAAAAGGAAAGGTAAGTTTACTGAAAAAAAAAAATATTAATGATACGTTAAAATGTTAAATACCTTTTTCGCGTAAAAATCTTTGCATTTCAGTATCGACAATTCCGGGACGTAGTGCTATTGCCACGATATCAGGTTCTTCAACTGCAACTGTAGATGTCAACAAATTAAGTGCTGCCTTACCCCTAAAATAAAAATAAAAAATTAATAGTAATAATTAAACTTTTAGTTTACTTCATCTAAGCTAGATGGTCAACACTTACGAACCATATGGACACCATCCACAATATGATTTATTAGCTGATCCGGACGATACCGTAACAAAGACTCCCTTATTTTGCCTTAATTGCGATATTGATTTTTGAATTAAAACAATTACTGAAAAGAAATTTATATCAAAACTTCTAATAATTTTTTTGAATTTAAAAGGAAATCGAATTAATTATTTAATTTATTGTTTGGAAATAATTTTAAAAAACGATTTTTATTACCGTTTCCATTCATCTATATTGCAGTCCGCCACTTTACCAATAGGAAGAACTCTATTAAGAATTCAAAGTTAAATTCGTTTTTTATATATATATATATATTTTGGAAAAAAAAAAAAAATTTCGCGACTTACCCAGCATTTGCAATAACACCATCTAATTTTCCCCATAATTTAATAGATTTCCCGATCGCTTCTTCTATAACCCGCTCATTTGTAACATCTCCAACAACTATTTCAATTTTACCTTTCTCTTTTAAATCATTCTCAACATATTGCTTCAATTCTAATAAATCTTTCTGTGTACGAGATATTGCTATTACATTATTATTAAATTTTTTAATTAGTTCTATTGCTATTGCTCTACCTAGCCCTCTTGACGCTCCCGTAACAATAATTGATTTTGCTACCATAATGAAATTAAAGTAATTTACCGTTAAACGAATTCAATTTTTAACCTAATTGTCTTCGGCTTACCTTATTAGGAATAATCTTATCGGACAAAAGATCGGCATATGGTTTGAACAGAAAAATGTTTTTAGAGGTGAAAAAACTCTGTCTACCATCATTATTGAAGACTCGGATTCATTATTTTTTTTTTTTTTTTGAATTATAAAAAATAAATAATAGAAATTAATTTTATTTTTATTGATATAAATTAAAACCTTAATTTAATGCAATATGTTGTTTAAAAAGAAATTTTGTATTATTACTAAAAATGATCAATTAATTATTATATTTACAATAATATGAAAATGAAAATAAAGAATATTAAATAATAATAATCTTTTTTTTTTTTTTTTTCCTAATATGAACTTTTCTATATATTTATTTTAAATAATGCAATATATATTATGCAAAATGCGTCATCTAAACGTTAAAGTGATTATGTTCTATGAGATTTCAGTATACATATTATCAATTTCTTTTTGGAATTTAATTCTCGCTTGATGTCTTTTTAATTTAAATGTTGGAGTAAGTAAATTATTTGTCATAGAAAATGGTTCATCAACCAAGTGTATATTTTTAATACATTCAAAACCTTTCAAATCATTAGCTTTACCATATTTGATAAGGGTTTGAAGAAAATATTTTTTAACTTGAGGATCGGTACATAATTGTTGAAAAGATTTTCTTACAAGATTATTTTGCCTTGCCCATTTCAGTAGTGTTTTTTCATTAGGTACGATAACAGCAACTAGTGAAGGTTGTAAAGAATCACCATAAACAAATGCTTGATAAATAAGTTCATGTTTAGCGTATATTTTTTCAATCTATCGGAAAGAAATTTCTCTTAAGTCATTGAAATATATATTAAAAAAAAAAATAAAATAATGTTCAAAGTCTAATTACCTTTTCGGGTGCAATATATTCACCCTGAGCTAGTTTAAAAATACTTTTTACCCGATCAATGATTACTAGACGACCTTGTTTATCCCATTGTCCAATATCTCCGGTATGACACCATCCATTTTTATCAAGAACCTCCGCAGTTTTTTCGGGAAGTTTAAAGTATTCACGGAAAACGCTATGACCACGAACACAAATTTCACCTCGAGGAAACGGTTTATCTTTAGAGGTATAATTCATATCTGGTACATCAATTAGTTTAATTTCGACACAAACTTGTGGTGGACCAACGTGACCAGACGCGATATCACCAAGCAAAGTCTTTTTTTTTTTTTTTAAAAAAAATTTTTTAAATTTAAATTAATAAATGATAGAAGTTGATTATATTTTATAAAAAAAAAAAATAAAATAAAATAAATGAAGAGCACATACTATAGTTAAACAAGCAGCGTTTTCTGTTTGTCCATACCCTTCATATACATCAGCCGAGAAAGCAATTCTCAAAAAATCCATAACTTCAGATGAAATAGGTGCGGCACCTGATAAAATGGTTTTTACTCTACCTCCCAGTCTAGCTCTAATAGGGGCAAAAACTACACGATCCCACATCCAATGGTCAACATTTCCTTTATTTAACCCATTTTTCTTTGTGTTAAGGGCGGTAGTAAATATCCATTGCGCAACGCCACCTTTGGCCTTAACGCCGGCTACTACTTTATCATAAACACGATTAAGTAAACGTGGTACCGAAATGAATACGGTCGGTTTTAATTCTGCAATGTCATCCAACAATTTCAAGGTTTCCCCTTGATAAAATCCAATCGCCGTTCCTCCATAAATCATAGTGGCCGTGTTAACCAATTCAAATACGTGAGCTAATGGTAGGTATGAAATATGCACGTCATCTGGTGATGCTAAAAATAATTTGCCATTCTCGGCAAGCCATCTAACACTGGCAACATTAGCCATAATATTTTTATGAGATAACACAACGCCCTTGGGTGTATCTGTTGTACCAGAAGTATAACAAATGATGGCGGTATCATCAGGTTTAGCATTCTTGGCTTTAACGGGATGAACGGATCCATCCTTTTCAACGAGGATAAAATTTACAATTTTAACGTCATGTGAAATTGCAAGATCAGTGATTTCTTGATCATATTGATCCGTAATAATAATGGTTTTAAGGGTTGGTAATTTATCTTTCATATTAAGTAGATGTCGGGCTTTATTAGCTGTGACTAAACAATAAACCATTTCCGTTTGATTTACAATATATTCAATAGTTTCGACTCCTAATGTATCATATAAAGGTACCGAGATGAAATTGTATTGATAACATGCAAGTTGTGCCATTACCTTAAAATTTAATTAAGAAATTATTTATTTAGATTTTTCATCTTAACATGAGAGAGACATGATAGGCAAGTTATACTTACATATTCAGGTGTATTAATTGAGAAAAATCCCATGAGATCTTTAGGTTTCAATCCCAGTTTCCTTAAACCTGATCCGAAATTCGATACCCGTTTTTGAACTTTTTGATATGATTGCCATACATAAGGACCATCTTTAATCTCCCGATGTCCCAAGAAATTTCCATCGTCGCCTATTATAATTATAATTAAAATTGATTCATTACTTTGGAAAAAACAATTTTTTTTTTATTTTTTTCATTTATTTATTTATCTTTTTTTTTTTTCAACATGAATGGAAAATGTTACCAGCTTCCTTAACACCATTTAAAAAATTCTCATATAAGGTGGTAGCTCCAGTTGGGTGAACAATTAATTTATCAGGACAAAGAGCATTTCGACGAGGCTTTCCCTCTCCAGGAATATCGGGAGAACCAGCGACTTCAACTGAATATTGATCATTTTGCGGTCTTTGCGTTTTTAGCTGTGAAATACTCATGTTTTTTTTTAAAAAAAATAACGCAAATGAATTTGTTATTTTATTATACCGGGTATAATATATATTTCAAGGAAAAATTTTAAGAATCAATATTAAAATTTCTTATTGCATTTATACTATTTTTTTAAGACGATCTATCTAAAAATGAGTGATTTTGATTTACAATATTAAACATTGGCTAGCTAATTCAAGAAAATTTTTATATTATATTATGTTATTCAATTTGCGAATTTTAATCGCACAAGCCGTAATCACATAATCTGCAACGTTACATCACAGATGAACAATCATTTCGATAATAAGGAAATTTTAAAACTTTAACTTTTATTATACATATGTGGATTTTTGTTTTGTTTGTTTACCAAGAAATGAATATTCAATCATAAATTGGGAAGATAATCTTTTTGCTGAAGTCAGAATTAACCCGAGCACATTACACATGCATCACGATTTTCCAACTAAAATAAAAGTAGATAATTATTAAGAACTTACCGAAAAAAAAAACATCTTCATATAAAAAAAAAATATATATATATTTGATAATCTTACCGAGCACGCAAGTGCCTTGGCCTTCAAATCCATGTCATTATTTTCGTCTTCGTCTTTCTCATCTTCGATTTTAATTTGACTAACTCGTTTTGTTAAATTATGATGGAAGTCAGAATTAGGTGATATCATTTTTTCTGCTTTCTTTGCCAAAGATGCTTGATCGACTGTAAATTTAATTGCATCAACAGCTGGTCTTGTACGTAAATAATACATGCCAGTTTTAAGACCCTTTTTCCACGCGTGACTGTTTAATGAATCCAATTAATACAAATAAAACATTAATTATATCTGATAACAAGCAACTAGTAAACTACATAAAGTACTTACAAATGCATAGATGATATTTTTGCGATACTGGGTTCAGAGAGAAAGACGTTCAATGATTGTGACTGGTCAATAAATGGCGCACGATCTGCTGCGAGATCGAGTAAAACTCTCTGTGGGATTTCCCAGATAGTTTTATAAAGTTTTTTCAAATTATCGTCCAACTCTTCCAGACCTTGGATGGATCCATTAGCAGCAATGATCTCATTTTTCATTTCTTCATTCCAAACACCCATCTCAGTAAGATCCTTGAGTAAATGATGATTCTAAGAAATAATCAAAAAAAAAAATTAGGCATATTATACGTATTTTACAAAATATATATCATAGAAATCATTATAATATTTACAACTACTTGAAATTCCCCACTTAATACACGTCTTTGATAAATATTGCTTGTATATGGTTCAAAACATTCATTGTTCCCAAGGATTTGGCTCGTGGACGCAGTAGGCATCGGTGCGATCAACAGGGAATTCCTTACTCCATATTGACGGATCAACTCCTTCAATCTTGCCCAATCCCATCGCTCTGAAGGTTGTACTCCCCACATTTCATGATGAAGGATACCTTTACTAATTGGTGAGCCCTCATATGTAGAGTAAGGACCATCTTTAATAGCAATTTCACATGATGATTCAAGAGCTGCGTGATATAAAGTTTCAAAAATATCCCGGTTAAGGTTACACGCTTCAACAGACTCCCATGGATACCTAAGAAGTATTAAAGCATCTGCGAGCCCTGTTGTTGATAATTAATTTGAGAATTAGTTGAGAGTTAGGAATAAATTGATAAATTTCTAAATGGTGGTAGTCGATGCTTTCCTTGAACTCCAAGGCCAACTCTGTTCGAAAATCAACAAGAAAAATTTATTAGTTCAAAAAAAAAGTCAATAAAAGGTTCACATAAGATTGATTTGTATACATACGGTCTATGTCTCTTATTGCTTTTTTCTGCTTCAGGTACTGGGTAATAATTTTGGTCAATGACTTTATTCAAATTCTTAATAACAACTTTAGCAATTTCATGAAGTTTCACAAAATCAAAAGTTTTCAATTTCGTATTAACAAATTTAGGTAATGATATTGAGGCTAAATTACAAACAGCTACTTCATCAGGAGCAGTGTATTCAAGTATTTCTGTGCATAAATTTGAACATGTTAAAGTACCAAGGTTCTTTTGATTTGACTTTTCATTACAAGAATCTAAATCATGGCAAAAGTTAATATACATTTGATATGAAATAAACGTTTTTTATCGAGAAAATTATTACCTT